AAAAATTAATCATAAAAATTTGTCATGCCTTAGAACGAGATAAATTTGTACCCATTAGGTTTTTCGAGGATTGATGTTATCGAAATCCTTTGCTTTGTTATGCCTTAGCACAAAATTGTTCGGGAATTCGAATAATTCGATACCCCTTAGGGTTTTTCGAGGGTCGATATTATCGAGATCCTTAGTAATTCAGCCGAGGGTTGCCTTTTTTAATCAGTTTATAAGAATATTTGAATGCATGTTTTATAACAGAATTCGGACGTCTCCGAACCGTGTTAATTTGGTCGTAGCCTTTAGTTTGGAATTTGCCCCTTAGCTTGTTTCCCTGCTATACTTCGAACTCGTTCGCAGTGTCAGTCCCCGAGTGTGGTGGCCGTGGCCTATAAAATCGAGGATTGCCTTTTTAAGGTCTTATGATTTCAAAGTTTAGTAATTCGATCATGTCGATTTTCTGGACGGCAGTCCCCGAGTATAGGGTAAATTATTTGAACTTCAGTTGTGATCGGCCCTTAAGCCAGTTTTCACAATAGATCATAAGTATGAAATTGTAAAGTATAAATTTCTCTAAGGCATGGAACATCTGGTAAGGAAAAATACTTCTTTCAATAGATTATACATGCATACATGTTTTGCTATTAGGGCTCGAGTAATCTACATGGACACGGTTCATTTGACCGTTTGGTCCTTTACCTATCGAGACCCTGTCGACACGAAGTATTTTCCTTGTAACTATCTGAGGGTGATGCCCCCCAGTATTCGAGGTTGATTGTAAAGAAGCCTAGGATACTGTTGAATTTCTCTAAGTTAGCACGAACAATGGTTGCCTCGTTAAAAACCTCGCCGGAAAAATCCATTTGGGACAAAAACCGGTCTAAGGGAAAAAGAGTGCAACGTGTGCTTTCAGACCTAAGGACTTTGTGTTTGAAAAATCTTTTGGTGTCTTCGATTAAACACCTGCAAATGGTTAGTATAAAATATAAACGAAACGAAGAAGGTCGTACCTTAGCAGTAATATCGTTTGAGGAGTGATATGTCCAATTGTTTGGTAATTGTTCGTCGTTCATCATGCCAAAGTTTGTAGGATCCTTTTCTGATGATATCGAGGACCTGATACGATCCCTCCCAGTTCGGACCAAGTTTTCCTTTGTTTGGGTCTCGAGTATTGAGGGTGACCTTCCTTAGAACCAAGTCCCCAATTTTAAAGTGTCGAAGATTGGCTCTTCGATTGTAGTACCTTTTGATCCGTTGTTTCTGTGCGGCCATTAGAACGAGTGCGGCATCCCATTTTTCATCTAGCAATTTGAGTCTTGTATTTATAGCCTCGTGATTTGACTCTTCCTTTGAATATCGAAACCTGACGCTAGGTTTCCCAACTTCAACCGGGATCAGAGCTTCGGCGCTATATACTAAAGAGAACGGTGTTGCCCCCGTACTGGATTTTGACGTTGTTCGATAAGCCCAAAAGACTTCTGGCAATATTTCTCTCCATTTTCCCTTAGCGTCGTTCAATCTTTTCTTTAGATTTTGAATGATGGTCTTGTTTGTCGATTCGGCCTGTCCGTTCCCACTAGGATGATATGACGTCGACAGGATCCTTTTTATTTTGTGATTTTCGAGAAACTTTGTCACTTTGCTGCCGACGAATTGCTTTCCATTGTCGCATACGATCTCGGCAGACATCCCGAATCGGCATATAATGTGGTCCCAGATGAAGTCTATGACTTCTTTCTCTCTAATTTTCTCGAAAGCCTGTGCTTCAACCCACTTAGAGAAATAGTCAGTCATAAACAAAATAAATTTAGCATTACCTAGGGCTGATGGCAGAGGACCGACGATATCCATTCCCCACTTCATGAATGGCCATGGGGATAAGACATACATCTCGCTAGCTCCCCTGGTCAACCTTTCCCTTTTATTGCGCATGTATAAGAAGTAACATGCTCATTAGGGTCGAAGGTCCCATTGTACTTAGGAATTTCTGGCATTCGGAGTTTCTTCGGAATGGGTTTCGGAGCCGCACTTGGAGGGAAAAGCTTCTGTTCAAATTTCTTTGAATCCATACTCTTTAGAATCAGCGGTGCCTCCGGTATTTGGTCAACCCGAGAGTTATATGTCTCTACTTTCTTGTCATTTGCCTCAATTTTCTTTTCTCCCAATTCAATCCGTTTAGTGAGCTCCTCGAGCATTTTCATAATGGCGGGTCAATCCCCGATTCGTTAGCGTTCGACCTTTCCGGCACAGGCTCGGTCCTGTGGGCGACTTCTGGTTCGATCCTACTCGATGTTCGACGCTGATTTTGTAGTTGTGCTATAGTGGCTTGTTGAGCCTATAACATTTCGAATATCAATTGGAGGCTAACTTCACCATCTTCTCCGCCCTGCGTACCTCGACCACCTGATCGAACTTCCCTGCGTACGCTACCTTCGGGATCAACGCCCAAATTTGCATTCAAGGCGACATGTGAACTGACATCGACGGGATTAGCAATTGGTGCTGCCTCGAGGTCATCCTGAGGCGCCTCGATCCCTGGGGCGGCTATATTGCCATTTTTCCCGCGAAATTCTTTTCTCCCGATTAAATCCGTGTAGTGAGCTCCTCGGTAACCTTGACCGAATAGTTTGACAATCTATTCAACTCTGCTTTATCTGACATCTCTTCTGTGAGTATTTGACCATGTTGCCTCAATTCCAGATCCCTGAGGTACAAATTACTCTGGATCTGTTCAAAGGAATCGACCTGATGCTTATAGGACTCAAGAGAGGCACTACTTTCTTCTTTTATATTCTCTACGCATTTCGTATTGAGTAAAGTCATGTCAGATTGGCTTTGACATACCAATTCTTGGTCGTGTGTGTTGATTTTAGATGCTTCTAGCAGCATATTGATGATTTAATCCTTATCCGTTGAAGCATGTTGCTCTTTCAAGCTCTGCTACCTTTAAAATTGGATAACAATTAAATTTATAATGTGATTTTAAGGACACATGATTTCACTTAATATCAATTGATAAATATGAAGATTAATAACAGAAATAAACTATAAAGTAAAACAAATCAGTGGTAGAATAGAACTCAGCCCTCGAGTTTGGATACCCTCGAACTGGTTGATGGAAGAATAATTAAAATATAACAACCTGATGAACAATAGTATATAACGAGAAAGAGAATTATATTGNAACAATTAAAATATAACAAGCTAATGAACAATAGTATAAACGAGAAAGAGAATTATATTGCTTTGATATCTGTGAACAATGTGTCTTACAGATGATTAGAACCCCCCCTTAAATAGTAGAGGAATTTCACTTATGGTATAATTCTAATTACAGAAGGAAACCTCATGATTAGCTAATTAACTGTTTCTGATTTGATCCGTTCCGAGATTTACGCCATGATACTTGACCAGTCACGGATATCTCGCCTTTTTATTATTGTGCTATCTTCGATCTTCCTCGATGTCTGTCTCATTTGGCTTCGATCGCTACTAGCCTCGATCTCGACAGGTACCTCGAATCTGAACTCAGTACCTTATCCTCGTGATTTAGTATGTTCCGTTACGAGGCCGTCCTTCGATGCAACCTCCCGGTCTTGGTCAAATAGTAAAATTGGATGGGTCCGATTTTAACCGTATACAGATAGTCCCTCAAATAGTAAATTTGTTGACTTCTGCAGACGGACTATATTTCTTTTTATTTAGTCATAACTCACAACTAGGGAGTCAGATTTAGCCCCGGCTAGTTTAATGTGAATAAAAAGTTTAATTAAGGCATCCCGCCTACATTGAATAGTTCGGTTGATAATAAGTTTGTTAATGGATTAACCTGTGCATAATCTAATTAGTTCTTTTAAAAGTTTGGGTCAATTTAAACTATCTATACATACCAAATTGATCCATATAAGAAAATTTATTAGAAATTTAAAGGAAATTATTGGTTTGATTTTTCCATTAATTAAGAAAAGTTATTTTTGATTTGATTTGGTAGTCAAACAATTATGAAGACAAGGCCAAACAAACAATTGAAAAGATGTCATTTAGTTATGGAGCTTTAGGTTATGATTATGTGTTACGCGACATATCAAAGATTTACACTGTATTTAGCATTCGTAGCTATACTTTCAGCAAATTTATCATTCGTAGTTATATTTGAATTTTATAGCAAATCCATGAAATAGGAGATTAATTGTTTTGAACTGAAACAAGAGAGTCAAAGCTCTCGTAGCTCAGTTAGTTAGAGCGCCCGCTTAGTTAGCATAGGTCTTGAGTTCGACTCTCAACAAGAATAATTTATTTATCTATATTTTTGTATTTTGCCATAGTTATATTCGTTGCGCGAACAAATACAGTCGATACAAAGTTGTATCATTTATATACACCCCTCTATTTCGCCTTGGTTATAATTTATCACGAATACAGTTGATACACGTATTCGTGCGCAACGAATACAGTTGACACAAAATGTATTTATTACGCGTTTGAGTACAAGTGATACAAGTTATTGACAATTGAATATTAGCTGTGAATAGTAATTTGACAAACTATAATTAGTAAGCTCTAAATTATAGTGATTTATGAAAATTCATCTTTGAATTTACCCTATCTCATATGTTAATCGACTTAACCGTTTTAAGCCCATTAATCCAATGAGTTCATGTTGATTCATGTAGACAGTTCAATTGACACACTTATCGGCAAACAAGAAAGTCTTTAGAGTCGAACGATTCAACGATCCATTTTGTAATATTTAGAAAGGATATTTTCTACTAGTGTTTATTTGTTGATGGTCCAATAAAGAAGATTTATGTCCTAGAAAAAGTAAAGATTCTTCATATGAACAAATTCATGTAGAAAAGCAATAAAACTGAAGAATGCCTCCTCATAGCCGTTACACAGAGAATGGAGTTAGATTCTCCTTCCTTGATAGCAGCAAATATTAGTGTGTCCCACCCGCATTTTCCCAACAAACATCATAGATTCATTATTCATATAGCCGTTGCCAAGCATCAAGAAAAATAATGCATAAAATACAAGAAAATATACAGTACAAAGTACAAATTTTATGAGAAGTGGATTTGTGGTCCTGTGAAAATAAATAACAGCTCTTATTAAGTCCCCTACACTACTATTAATTGCTTGCTATTAATGTGGAACCAGTTGTTTCTCTTACAATGTTCTAGGTAGAAAGTAGAAACCGTTCTTCTATACGGCAGAATAGAGTAGGACAAAACAAATCTAAATTGTTGGATCAATAGAATAAGAATAATAAAACAACTTAACTCTGTTTATTCTGTATACTAACGTATAGAAAAACAAAAGGCGCGGCTTTGTCTCATCGCGATGTGTCTGTCACCTAAACTTCTTTTGACGTTCCCCGCAAAAACGCGACACCCATCCCCGCAATCTTCAAATTGTGACGCTTGGGAACTTGCAAGCTCCATAACCTGCAAAATTACAAGCAACTTCAACAACAAAAACAACAACGAACGACCCAGTAAAATCTCACTAATTGGATCTGGGGAGGGTAGTGTGTACGCAGACCTTACCCCTACCCCGAAGGAGTAGAGAGGCTGTTTCCGAAAGACCCTCGGCTCAAAAAAATAAAAAGACAAAATGACAAAAAGGATACAATATGATAAATAGAAACACCATGAAATCCAGAAGAAAGATGCAAAAGGGAGACAATACAAGCAACTTCGTTAGCATGTATAATCGAGAACAAATATTTAATCAGAGTGACGAATTAGGGTCGGTTGCTATAATATTATATAGAATGAAAAAAACTCAACTTCTAGATATAGGCATCTCTCGACTCGACTATCACTCCCTAGTTTCTAGCAAATTTTAGTTATTTGATCTGGAAATATGTGAGCTCATTATATGACATTTTCAAATGTCGACATAAAGTCATTTAAATCATAATTTTGATTAGAATTGAATGTATTACTTACTTGGATCACTTTTGGTCGGAATAGCAAGCCCATTGAAATAACAAGTTCCTCCAGCTGACTTAAACTGAGCCCAATAAGAACTGAACGCGTAATTCGCATGTAACACCAAAGAATTCGGTTTGTAACATTTCCCACCGGGTCGGATCTCATCACAGGTCCGATTACCCTGCCCACATGCATATGCCAATGCTCCACTCACTTCCGTTACACTCGCTTTTCTCCCAACAACGCACCAGATTTTCCCCTTGTACGGCTCATTGTTCTTCGGCCTTGGCAATGGTTCATATTCCGACAACGACGTCTTTCCAGACAAGTCAATCCCGTATATATTCGTCCCGTTCGGATACAGTAACCCGAAATGCCGTTCCGTACCCGGACCCGGTTTCTCATTCTCGTTGTACAAAGCAAACAATAATGTCGGCACGACAACTCCTGGTTTTGCTGGCGTTCCCACAGGTGGCTTAGCTGTAAACTTTTTAATCACGTTCCTGTTGTACGTTGCTGCATTATAGATGTTCGCTCCAATTTGGTCTACATTACCAGCATTGGGCCAACCCGTTTCTGCAATAAATAACCGAACATCCGGGTAGCCCACTCTCTTCATAGCGAAATACACTGCATCAATCATTTGGTCCAATAAATTCGTATAGGTTAAACCCGAACCCGGATCCGTAACGGTAATATTCTTGGACTCTAACAAAGCATAGTCAAGATTAATTACTGTAGGTTGAGCTGCCCAAGCAAAATAAGGATAAACATCTATGAAAAAGAATGATTTGGTTCGGTTCAAAAAATGTAACAAGGGTTTCATAACTTTTTCCGAAATGTCGGACCTAAATGTACCATTAGAAGGTGGGAAAGAAGATTCAAGCATATCAATAGCTAATGGGGTACCAACTTTAATTTTTCCGAGACCAAATTTTTTGACAGCGTATCTGATTTTGCGTATGGCAGGTACAAGGTTGAACCAAGTGGTGTTGGGTGGGCTACTTAGGATTTCGTTTCCAACAAGGACGTAACGGATCATAGTGTCGGGGTAAAATGGTACAACATTGGTTTTGACCCATTGATCTGCTAAGTCTTGATTTGTAGAGATGTTGTTGATAAGCTCATTTGGGACCATGACTGAAAGTTGAAGTTTTGTGCCTTTGAAGGCTTTAAGGATTTCTGGGTTTGCATCGTAGATCTTGACTCTATTGGCTTTGAGACCATTGATTAAGTCAACTGATTTTGTTGGTATAGGGAGGTTGTTCCCAAGTTGTCCGTAGCATATTCCTACCTTAGATGAGATTTCTGCACCTGAAATTTACAACAAGTAGAACAGAGTGAGCTGCTATAAAAGAATTAAGTATAAAGACTTAACATTAAGTTGTTAAAATTGAACTTACCGGAGAAAGAAGCAAAAGCAAGGAAAGATAGTAGAAGTAAAGTAGATAAACAACCCATCATATCTTCCTCAAGAAGTGATGTGATGTGATGATGCCTTTTAGAAGAAGAGCTGGGAAAGGTGTGTGTATATATAGAGGAAAGTGAAAGACTCAAGTGGAGTCTAAGCTATCCTTTGACGTAACATTCCTAAATTTATTTTGAAAAATTTGATTTGGGTGAAGTTTGGTTTGAAGATAAAAATGTGTTTGGACGTATGTTTTGGGTGAAATTTAGTTTGAAAAAACATGAAACATGACTTATACACACAAGTTCTAAAAACTATCACAAATACCCAATAATATCATTATTAATAATATTCATTATATTATCGCAAACCATAGTCCTGAACATAAATAAATTTAATACAAAATTATCATTTTTATAATGATCTACATGATACACTATCAGATGACCGAGAAGACGAAGCAACATCATTACAAAATAATAAATGGTGAGCTCTTTTATAAAATATAAAAGTTTGGGGCAATTTTTAAAAAATATAATAGTGATATTTTGGCCCAAAACCAGCTATTGAGCTGGTTTTGGGATTTGAGACTTGGGATTTGGCCAAAATGTAGGCAAAATCTATGGTCAAACATGTATTTGTCAAATAAAATTCAAGTTTATTTTGGCAAAATCTATGGCCGAACGGGTCCTAGAAAAAAGGCAGGGTGTTTTACACCAGATTTTATTTTATTTTGGGGTTTGCTATAAATGACAGCTTCTTCGTAGGTGGGTGACCACTTCCTCTTTACCTTTTGGTAAAAAAGAAAGATAAAGAGAAAGGGTATTTATGGCAGATGCTGTCTATTAAAGAGAAGAATCAGTTCCTTCGGATGATGCAATGAGAGTAATAAAGAAAGTGTAAAAGGATTGGACAAAAGAGTAACGTGATACAGCCCCACCCTTGGGGTCTCGGCCAAAGGGATTGGTGATGGTCACTTCACTTCCTGATTTCTCAGCTACAGTTTCAATAGATTTGATTGGAATATGAAAAAAAAAATTTGAAATAATATTGAAAAATAATTTTTGAAAGTTAAAGTTGTATTTGAATATGAATTTTATTTGAAGAAAAATTAAAATTTTGTGAGTACAAGAAAACTTTTTACCAAAAAACTATCCTAAAGCAATTTTTAAAATTTAATTTTTTTTTTCAAAACATAATCATATTTGATAGCAAACAACATTTTCAATTTTTTAGTTTTTGATGAACAATATCGAGGAAGCGCATGAAAAGAGGAGAGGACCTACTTTTGGGACCCAAAAGCTAAAAGCATTTGCAGATGCGGTGAAAATAGAAAGTAGCCGTTTAATGTTACTGTCAAGATGACAAGATGTATTTTGAGATAGTTTTTTACTTACTAGTAGTATAATTAGACTTGTTTAGTCGTCTTTTCGTATCTTTCTATACTGAAATGTTTGATTGGACACTGAATTATTTATAAGACAAGGAAAAAATTGGCATTTAAGGAATTCTTAAAAAATTTAGTCTCAAGCATATCATGATTTTTTTTGGTTACAAGAACATGTTATTATGATAAACATAAGATGTTTAAATTTACAGAATTTTCAAATATAATAAAGTGCTATTATTTTTATAATATACAGAAAAAGAAAATAATCCCATATGATATGAAAAATAGGATTACAATAATTCTGGTTAGTCAAAGTGAAAACGGGAGGGACGTTAACTGATGGAAACTTTTACTATGGAAAATTTTGGTCATTGATTAAACTTTCAGTCCATAATTAACGTGCAAGTAGTAATACTCAATTCCCAAGGCACAAAATTTTCTCATTTCCTTTAGCATCCAAGGCGGGAATTCGGACAAGTTCCTCTTTACATAAAACTTGAGTGCACATGTTTCCACGGTTCTTTATTGCAGTCTGCTTCAGATTTTGTGCAAGAGTTGTTCTTTATTTTAGAACGTGTATAATAAATTGGAAATTTCATTAGGTAGCGGCAGACTTCATTTATAAATTAAAAAATAAAACTATATTTTGATGAGGATGCCCGAATTAAGGGAATGGAAAACAAAAGAATTTGATACAAATGGAAGTTTACACTTCTAATGAAGTCGAATATAATTATTCTGCCAAAGGAATACTCCTTAACTCAGGGCAGGGGCTCAAACAAAATCAAGTTGGCCTACCAGTGAATACGTAAAACTTGAGTGCGCATGTTACATGCAGAAGAATTTAAGGAAAAATAATCAATAAAATGGATGATTGTCTTATTGAGCTAGCAGACATCTTCTTTAGTTTAATGTTACCCGTGTACGAGTAAAAATCGGGCTCATGATACACTCCGTCCTCCAACAGGGTAAAACGAGCTCGAGATATGATTATGAAAGATCGGAATCGAAGCAAGGATATCTTTGAGTCGGAGTACGGGGGCCGACCATCGACCCTCGATAATATTAGGGTCATGATTCGAGATCGACATAAAACCTGAAGGGAGAGCGTCGTCGGGCAATCAAGCACAGCCAACAGGAGGCCGTAATATCCGTGACCGACCGGATATCACGGGATGGATCTCGGCATGTATCGATGAAGAACCGGCAATTAGTTAAACAAAAAAGTTTTTGCCTTTTATAGAGTTATACTTAGAGTAGAATTCCCCTACTATATAAAGGGGGTCTGATGATTCATTAAGCACGTTGTAGCATGTATTCCAAAGCAATATATCATTATTTCACCGTTATTCTAAGCTTTTCTTTCATTCGTCAATATTGACCATTGTGAGCCCGGGTCAAAGGCAAATAGTTCACTAAGACTGAAGACATCTTCCCTGCGTGGTTTGAATGTACTGTATTTCTATTTGTTTGTTTTAATCCAATTAATTATTTTTGTATCAAATTAATCCGCGTATCTTTAAAACCACTTACAAATTTAATAGTTATCCGATTTTAAGGGTAAACAGTTTGGCGCCCACCGTGGGGCTAAGGATAGTAGTGTCAATTTGATATAAATTTTCATAACACACCCTACTTTACACTTGTTCTTTGAAGTGTCTTTGATTTCAGGTATGCATTTAAAATATCGAACTTCCAATCTGCCACTCTAAACACGAATGTTGAGTCTGGCCACCATGGTGAGAACAACAATATAGCACCCTGTAACGAGGTGCCCCTCGCCGATCTCAATGGAATTCTGATCGCGGACCCAATTGACACAGCTCATATGTGGCCATCAACACAAATTTGTCCACCGATCCTGAGAACAGCATCCACGAGGGAGTCCGACCGGTAGCCCAAACTGCTCGTGACGGTGAAAGAGATGGGATCAACTTAGAGGTGATATTCAAAATGCTACAGGCCCAGCAGGCAGCGATAGCCCAACTGCAGAACCGAAGCCGCGCTCCCAGTAGAGTTGAGCCCGAATCATCCCAGAAAAATACTTATAGAAATGAACCAGTCGCGGCCAAATGAAACTGAACCTGGGACCAACCTCGAGATAATAAAGATGATCGAGGAATTGAAAACGCGGGTGGAAACGGGAGAAAAGAAAATCGAAGCCAGCGACAAAAAGGTGGAGATTTACAACTCCAGGATCGACCAAATCCCCGGAGCGCCACCGATATTGAAAAGCGTACACTCTAAAAAGTTTGTTCAGAACCCTTCTCATGAGAGCAGCCCCAAAGTCGATCCCTAAAAAGTTTTGCATGCCTGAAATTCCTAAGTACAACGGTACAACTGACCCAAATGAACATGTGACTTCATACACGTGTGCCATCAAGGGGAATGACCTAGAAGATGATGAGATCGAATTTGNAACTCATTTACCATGCTTGCAGATGCTTTTGTAAAAGCACAGGCTGGTGTTATGAAGGTCGAGACCAGGAAATCGGACCTTTTCAAGGTAAAGCAAAGAGATAATGAGATGCTCAGGGAGTTCGTGTCAAGATTTCAAATAGAACGGATGGACCTGCTACCGGTGGTAGACGATTGGGCCGTTCAGGCCTTCACCCAAGGACTCAATACTCGAAGCTCGTTAGCTTCACAGCAGATGAAGCAAAATCTGGTAGAATATTCGGCCGTAACTTGGGCCGATGTGCATAGCCTATATAGTCAAAAATTAGAGTCGAAGATGATCAGCTGGGGCCCCTTCCGGGTCTGTTTATCCTGTCTGAGCTAGTGACAGACCCAAAAGAGATATTGATCGTGAACCAAGGTCAAGTAGGGATCGATATCAGCCGTACAACGGTAATCGTAAGGGTTACGGATCTTGACGAAACCCTATGAGAAATGAAAGGAGAAGCGATCGGAATCAAAATAATCGGGGACTCATGAGAAAAAACGTCTTTGGCAAGATTGTCGGGCCTAAGGAAGCGCCGAGGTTATTAGAGTACAACTTCAACATCGATGTTACTGCTATCGTATCAGCCATCGGACGCATCAGAGACACCAAGTGGTCTCGACCTCTACAGTCCAATCCAGCCCAAAGGGATCTCAACTTAATATGCAAGTATTATGGCACGCATGGCCACGAAATAGAGGATTGCCGACAATAAAGGGAGCGAGTGGCCTGGTTATTCAACAACGGACATCTCCAGGAGTTCCTCAGCGATCGAGCCAACAATCATTTCAAGAGGAACCTCAGCACGTCATTAACATGATCATCGGTGGGGTCGACGTTCCTAGGGGCCGATGTTAAAGCGTACCAAAGTATCCATCACGAGAGAAAAATAGACTCGAGATTACGTACCAGAAGGGACCTTGTCTTTCAATGACGAGGACGTTGAAGGCATCGTGCAGCCCCACAATGATACACTGGTAATATCTGTACTCATAAATAAATTTCGAGTTAAGCGTGTGTTGATTGATCCAGGTAGCTCGGCCAATATCATTAGATCGAGGGTCATGGAATAACTGGGTTTGCAAGACCAAATCGTGCCTACAGTCAGGGTTCTAAACAGATTCAACATGATTTGCTAGACCATTAAAGGGGAGATAACATTACCGGTGAACACCGCCGGGACCATTCAGGAAATGAAGTTCTGCATGATCGAAGGAGATATAAGGTACAATGCTTTGTTCGGGAAACCATGGATTCACAACATGAGGGCAATACCCTCGAAAC